AAGATAAATAAATAATGCTTTCCTTAATCTATAAATATCTTTTATATTTCCTTTATTTCCCAATAATCCTTTAAGACTCCATTCTTGGCCTGTCCTTTCAACTCTTTTCAATTTCTTCCTTTCAGGTCCAGATGTTTTAAAGTTCATCAATACGTGTTCTACATTTTCTATCTCTCCACATCCTTCACATTTATCATCATTTTTCCTCCCTATTAAGTATAAATTGTCATTTAAATAAGTATTACCTACTCTTAATCTGATCATTAATATTTCTTCCCTTCGGTTTCTCTCATTAATATTTCTATTTAATACTGACTTTTGTACTTTATATAACCTTCTTCCTTTTTTATCTTCATTCCACCTTTTTGCCATTTTTCCAATTTCTTTCGTCTTAATAAATGATTTTCCTTCCCCTTTCCCTAAAGGAATTGTAATTGTTATTGCCTCCTCTAATTGCTAATTTGTCTGCTACTACCCCACTACTACCCGTAGTGGGGGTACATTTTCCCACTTTGACCTTTTAAGGTTAGCATATTGACCAAAAGCTGACACCAAAAATAAAGCAATCGATTATTTACAACAATATGCTACATTTACTGAAGACTATTACAGATTTTACTCTCTTATAAGAATTAGTTTTAGGTTTTATAGGGGAGAGTTTGTATCGGCAGTCATCTGGGAATCTTTTATGTATTTACTGGTAAAGAAAAACCTCTCAACCCATTTAATGTAAATGTTGCGTCGAACCAGAAAGTTATTTGAAGAGCATAGATGCATAAATATGTGCATTAGGGCTGGGCGATATAGAAAAAAAGCTTATCGATTAAAAAAAATGCATATTGATCGATATCGATAATTATTGAAAAGATTTGAAACCATATTTTATGTGCAGCTCTGCCTGGACTTTTTATAATATTGCTAAATGATTTAATTTTAATTAAAAAAACACAAACACAGACTTCGAATGAAATCTTTATTTAACCAACTTTTTTAACCATAACAGAATTGTTTTAAAGAAAAATAACTTAAGAGACCTGAGTTATGTTATTAAATACTGACAAAGAATAAACTAAAGTGACCAAAATAAATATAACAAATAAATAAATGCCCCCCCACCGCCGCCCCCGTTTCCTGCTTTAACCTGAGTTATTACTTGGAAGTTTCTGGCCCCTCAGCATTTTTATCTCAATTGTTAGAACTACGTGGGAAACTGCCCAGAACTGAAAATATATATATATTTTCCGAAGATTCCTCGGAGGAGAGCCGCGTTGGGGCCTACACAGCTCGTACTCCTGCGGGTGTGAGCGGCTGAGATGATAAAGAAAAAAAAAGTTGGTTGTGTTATCAGACTTCGTTTTCACTGGTTCCCGACACATTTTCCAGATGACTGTGGTTTGTTTTTGGTCCGACTTGCCATGACCGAAATACTGCCAAACTGGCGAACTACAAAAACCCTTCTTTGGAACAATTTCCTCCGCCTCTCCTTGCTGCACAGCTTCATGTGCTCTGTGTTGTGGTTTGAGAGGGCGGCGCTTTGTGACGGCGTGCCTGGGTCCGCGATTGTGATTGGTTGGGAGGAAGCAGTGACTAGCATAAACCTACATGCTAGGCTACAATGAGAAGGAAGGAAAACAGGGTTTCTTTTTTATCGACCCTCTTTTTTTCTATTGCGCCACACGTCTATCGATCGATATATATCGTTATTGAATTATCACCCAGCCCTAATGTGCATAGCTTTAACAAGGGCCTCATGAAGGTCTGTTCTGTTATTCTCTTTTGGAGGATATAGACATTGTGGGCATTCATTTCCCTGATAAGCTGGTGAAGATTCTTAGACATCCAGGTCATAATCATTCCAAAAAAAACAAGAAAAAAACAAAAAAAAACTTTGGACTTTGTTTTTCAAGTTTGAAGACTTCCCATTCAGGACGTTTTTCAATTAAAAATTACAGTAGCCCAACAAATCCTTGTTTTGGCTAAGAAAATATGCAAGTTGAACCTGATGCCTGATCCCAATAGCTTGACTCTGAACCGAATTTGATCCCTATTACTTTTTGGCCACATGCACATTATTGTACTGCCTGGTCAACCCTAAGAAAATGTTCTGGAACTGCCACTGAACTTACACCCAATGCATGGAGGGTAACCCAAAAAGGGCCATTGTTAGAGAAAGTGGGTGCCTACAAAGTGCTGTTTTCAAGCTAATTAATGGAAAGTTAGGTGGAATGAAAAGTAGACAAATAACAATTACAATTCCTTTAGGGAAAGGGGAAGGAAAATCATTTATTAAGAGGAAAGAAATTGAAAAATGGCAAAAAAAAAAAGGTGGAATGAAGATAAAAAGGAAGAAGGTTATATAAAGTACAAAAGTCAGTATTAAATAGAAATATTAATGAGAGAAATCGAAGGGAAGAAATAATAATGATCAGATTAAGAGTAGGTCATACTTATTTAAATGACAATTTATACTTAATAGGGAGGAAAAATAATGATAAATGTGAAGGATGTGGAGAGATAGAAAATGTAGAACACGTATTGATGAACTTTAAAACATCTGGACCTGAAAGGTAGAAATTGAAAAGAGTTGAAAGGACAGGCCAAGAATGGAGTCTTAATGGATTATTGGGAAATAAAGGAAATATAAAAGATATTTATAGATTAAGGAAAGCATTATTTATTTATCTTCAGAATACAAAATAAAAAAATAGAATTTAATGGATGTAAAACAATGTTGCTACACACTCATGAACAGTAGGTGGCGGTATGCCCGCCCCTTCCCTAGAGCCCGGTGGGACGGAAAACATTTTGAATGGAAATCAGTGGGGAGAAATTAATAAACGTCTGGTCCCAGTCGCTCTCTGTCACTGATTCCAGATATGCTGGTTGTGTATTTAAATTTTTTATTTTTTTTTTAGTTCCTCTTTGGTCAAAATCTGGTCAAAATCCATCAATGAGATCGCACCAAACAGGAAGTTAAATGCACAAAGGATCCGGTAGATTTCCAAATAAAACACATCCGATCTTAACCCATGATCCTTTTTTTAACTAGTTTAATTAGTTTCTCCCGTATGCCACGACGTAATGCATTGATCTGAAAATCAACCTCAGACGCAACGCACGCAGTGGCGAGGGTTTGATCAATCAGATGGAGTTAAGTCACAAAGAATTCAATGTTGAATCGGGGCGGCAGCTAAAGGCTAGGCGATGGGTAGCAGCCAAAACGTTGCAATTTCACATAATTCTGACGAGATCCGAAAAGCCGTAGCAAAAACTAGCAAGCGGGTGATTATGTATGTTCACTAAGTAAATATTATGTAAATAAACCCTACACTTCTCGCTATAAATGTAATCAAAACCCATTTAAATGCAGAAACTGATTGAAATTATTGATTTTCCCACTAAAAGTTAGAGAAATCTCAGCCATGTTTATACCAAAATGTTACAGTTTCACATTATCTTGAAAAATCTTTGCAAGAAACGAACAAGCAATTGAATATGTACATTCCCTGAGTAAATATTCTGGCAACAAACTATACATTTCTCACTAGAAATGTAATCAAAACTCATTTTAATGCAAAAACAAACTCAAGTTATTAATCTTTCCACAAAAAAATGAGCGAATGTCGGCCATCTATATATATTTTTTTCTTCTCCCAGCTGGAATCTTGAAAGTCACGTGACTAGGACGTAAAACAATAGAAAGCGTATAGGCAGAAGAAACGTAACAGTACCACAAAAAAATGGCCATTAATGTACCTCCACTACGTTTTGCAGTGTGGACCAACGTAGTGGGGGTACATTTTCCCATGAGACTGGGTTGGAAAGCAGGACCCCACAGAAAGCAGGACCCCACAGAAAGCAGGACCCCACAGGACGCAGGTCCCCACAGCAAGCAGGTCCCCACAGGAAGCAGGACCCCACAGGAAGCAGGTCCCCACAGGAAGCAGGACCCCACAGGAAGCAGGTCCCCACAGGATGCAGGACCCCACAGGATGCAGGACCCCACAGGACGCAGGTCCCCAGAGCAAGCAGGTCCCCACAGGAAGCAGGACCCCACAGGAAGCAGGTCCCCACAGGATGCAGGACCCCACAGGATGCAGGACCCCACAGGACGCAGGTCCCCACAGGATGCAGGACCCCACAGGATGCAGGACCCCACAGGAAGCAGGTCCCCACAGGAAGCAGGACCCCACAGGAAGCAGGTCCCCACAGGATGCAGGACCCCACAGGATGCAGGACCCCACAGGACGCAGGTCCCCAGAGCAAGCAGGTCCCCACAGGAAGCAGGACCCCACAGGAAGCAGGTCCCCACAGGATGCAGGACCCCACAGGATGCAGGACCCCACAGGACGCAGGTCCCCAGAGCAAGCAGGTCCCCACAGGAAGCAGGACCCCACAGGAAGCAGGTCCCCACAGGATGCAGGACCCCACAGGATGCAGGACCCCACAGGATGCAGGACCCCACAGGACGCAGGTCCCCACAGCAAGCAGGTCCCCACAGGAAGCAGGACCCCACAGGAAGCAGGTCCCCACAGGATGCAGGACCCCACAGGAAGCAGGTCCCCACAGGATGCAGGACCCCACAGGATGCAGGACCCCACAGGACGCAGGTCCCCAGAGCAAGCAGGTCCCCACAGGAAGCAGGACCCCACAAGAAGCAGGTCCCCACAGGATGCAGGACCCCACAGGATGCAGGACCCCACAGGACGCAGGTCCCCAGAGCAAGCAGGTCCCCACAGGAAGCAGGACCCCACAGGAAGCAGGTCCCCACAGGATGCAGGACCCCACAGGATGCAGGACCCCACAGGACGCAGGTCCCCACAGCAAGCAGGTCCCCACAGGAAACAGGCACCACAGGAAACAGGTCCCCACAGGACGCAGGACCCCACAGAAAGCAGGTCCCCACAGGATGCAGGACCCCACAGGACGCAGGTCCCCACAGCAAACAGGTCCCCACAGGAAGCAGGCTCCACAGGAAGCAGGCCCCCCCTTCTTCTTACCAGATGGGACTCCTCCTGACACTTCAGCCGTACTTCTTTCAGCATGTCCTCCAGTTTGTGTTTCTGCTGCTCCATCTCCTCCAGTCGGTCCTGGGCATCCTGTTTCTGGGCCTCCAGCTCCTGCAGACTGCTGGTCTCTCTGTCCAGCTCGTTCTGCATCTCCTGATGGGTGGTTGACCGGAAAACATAGCCAGTGGTCATGGATGTCTGGAGGGCGTCCTGTAAACAGTCACTCAGCTGTCCTCACCTGAACCTCAGCACTCTTGTGTCTGATGGCTTCCTCCATGTCCCTGATGTCCTGCTCCAGAGTGTACTTATCCCTGAGACACACAGGAAACAGGTTTGGATCCACATTAGTTAGTCATCCATTTATTATTGAAATACACACTTTAATAAAGCAAAGTGTAATGCTAGTTAAAACCCACAGGAGGAGTTCTGGACACAGAACTCTGAGTTTGTTCTTTCAGCAGATGCCTCATCCAGAGTCTGGATCCTTCTAATAATTTACTTCCTGAATCTATTCTATAATCCAATACTTTGAGTTTTTATCCAAGCAAACGAATCATCACAATACGGATAAGAAGATGTTAAAGTGTGATCACCATCCTGCAGGCTGAATTATCTGCCACTGGACTTTAGCTCTCTGCCTGAAACAACGCTGAACTGAACTGTTTATACAATAGAACATCCATTTTCGCTGGTCCGGAAGATGGTGGCGTAGCAAGCGGTCGACTTTGTTGAGCTGCGCACCATATATTTTATATCTGAGCAGAATACCACCCTCTCACTACGACTATCCAACTAAATGTGGTAATACAACGCTGATAAACGCTCTTCCGACTCACTCCAGCACAATGCCGCCCAAAATTCTAAAGAAAACTAACAAAACCTGCGAGGTAGAGTCTCAACTGGCTGACACAGGTAACATGGCTAACACAGAGCTAGCTGCTAAGCTGCCAGCGGCTGGTGGGGCCACCACACTCGATCCTGCTCTCCGCCAAGTTATTGAGGAAATCACTGGGAACATTTCATTAGTTATTTCCCAGAAAGTAGACACTCTGACTGAAATGCTTAAGAGCCAGGCCACGGAGATAAAGGAGCTGGCCCGACGCACTACAGACGCGGAGGACAGGATTGCAGCCCAGGAGGACGCCCTGGAGCAGGCTACGGCCCGCATAAAAAAGTTGGAGAAAGAGGCCCTCACTATGGCACAACGAATTGATGATATTGAAAACAGAGGCAGGAGAAAGAACATTCGGGTGCTTGGTTTAAAAGAGGGCATAGAAGCTGGCCCTGGAGCCCTAAAATTTTTTGAAAAATGGCTGCCCGAATTTCTACAAATCAAAACCAAGAACGGCCGGATCAAGCTCGAGAGGGCGCACCGCACACTGGCTCCACAGCCCGGGCTTACACAGAGACCAAGACCGGTGCTGATCAGATTTCATAACTACCGTGATCAACAGCAGATTCTCGAAGCCGCGCGGCGTGCGGGGAGCGGAGACCAGCCCCTGATGTATCAGAACTCTAAGATCATGTTCTTCCAGGATTTCTCGGCAGACACCATGCGCAGGCGGAAAGGATTCGATGCGATAAAGCGACGGTTGCGGGAGGCAGGCATCCAGGACTCCCTTCTTTACCCGGCCAGATTGAGGATAGTACGCGATGGGGAAGCGAAGATTTTTGTCTTGCCGGAAAAAGCAATGGAGTTTGTGGACAGTTTAGGCTGAAATAACGACAGCGGAAGACCATGGAGGCAAACGCTCTGGACCGGACGGTGTCAGAGCTCTGATTTCTAAGTACCGTATGTTCTGATTCTTTTTGTTCCCCTCTTCACGCATAAGGATAAGTGATGTGAGTAATTGTGATTATGACTCATTTCAGGCCCCGTCCACACGAAGACGTTCCCTGGCCTAAACGCACAAATTTTTCACCAAACCAGCCTCTCATCCACACGAAGCCGGCGTTTCGGGGGTCTGTAAACGAATCACGCATGCGCGACCAGTATCACTACTACAATGGCGCCGTTGCTGCTAATGCTACTCACCCTGCTGTCGGGCTTACAACAGAATCTTCTTCTTCTGGAATATCTCCAGGAAGAACAGAGCAATATCGACGACATAGTTCAGCACCTGAATTTGACTGAACCACGAAAATGGACCCGCAGGGCAACCATGTATAAATATCAGTGCGCATGCCCAATATTTCGTCGCTTATTTTTGCTTTGGCACCACAGCGCCACTTACAGGCCTGGCATACATTTTGCAGCGTTTTCATGCATTCGTGTGGACGATCACATTTATTTTACGTCTCCGTCTTTACGACAAACGTTTTGGAAAATATCAGCGTTTCGTGTTCGTTTTGACTTCGTGTGGACGGGGCCAAAATCTGATATGCTCAGTTGTATTTTCTTGTGATGTTTAGTGGTGCACGGCAACGATGGATATGTGATGGACTTTCTCTTTTGGGTTTGTGTACCTGTGTGTTTTCACCAGGGAGATGAAGCACACGTGCTTGGTTAAGGAAGGGATGGCCCCCTACAGGTCTAGGGGGAAAGCGCGCCCGGAATGCGCATTTTTCTGTTTTATTTTGATTCTAATTTGTTGGTTTAGGTTGGTTCCTGTTCAGCTCAGCAGATTGCAGTCCTTGTATACAATCATTATTTGGGTGGCATTGCATTATGACTCTGGATTATAAATGCTAAGAATATGTACATGGAACATTAAGGGCAGTCACTCACCAATTAAAAGAAAGAAGGTCCTTTTAGCCCTTAAGAAGGAAAGCATAGATATAGCGCCGATGCAGGAGACACATTTAAATGACTCCGAACATTTAAAATTGCAACAATGCGGTTTTGAACGTGTTTTTTTCTCCTCTTTTACGACCAAAAGTAGAGGAGTTGCAATCCTTATAAAAAAATCAGTGCCCTTTAAAGTCATAGAATGTATTAAAGAGGGAGGTACGTACTTGTCAGAGCAATGATAAATGGGGAAGAATTTGCCATATTGAATTTTTATTTTCCACCGGGCCACCCTATTAACTTCTTAACGGAAATAATGGCAAAACTTGCAGGGCTCTCTCTTGAAAATGTTGTTGTGGGAGGCGATTTTAATTGTCTTAAGAATCCACTGATTGATAAGCTCCCCACTAGCCCCCTTCCCGTTTCAGGGAAATCAAAACAGATTTTCGATCTTTTTGAGGAGGCGGGGTTTGTGGATGTATGGAGAAAACTCCATCCTGCTGGAAAGGAATATACTTTCTACTCCAACCCCCACAAATGCCACACACGTATTGATTATTTTTTTCTCCCTAAAACTATTTTGAGACAAGTTGCTTCCTGCAAAATAGGACACATTGTTATATCTGACCATGCTGCAGTGTATCTAAATTATACCTTTAAAAATGCTAGGGTTCAATCAAATCATTGGAGAATAAATCCTTTAATTTTAAAAGATGAAAAATTTGTATTTTAGTATTTTAGAACAGAATTCAAACAATTTCTCGCTGTCAATTCTCCTTCCGCTAGCAGCCCCTCCTTGCTCTGGGACACAGCTAAGGCATTTAGTAGAAGATTAATAATATCATATACATGTAGCAAAAAACGAAGAATTGCAGAACAACAAAACATTTTAGAAAGAAAGCTTAGGCTCGCGGAAGAAGAATATATTAAAAAACCTTTGCGGACTAAGTTGGGAGAGCTCAATGCTATCCGGTGCTCACTGAAAACATTACTGACGCAGAACGCTACAGACAAAGTCAAATTTGCTAAACAAAAATTGTTTGAATACGGGGATAAACCAGGTAGATACCTTTCCTATCTTGCAAAAACACGGAAGACTTCCCAAACAATTGCTTCAATTTCTGACCAGAGGGGTTTATGTTCTACAGACCCAGAGAAAATAAACGCAGCTTTCTGTGAATTTTACAAAAATCTGTACCAATCTGAACAATTTGACAACTCTCAATCTTTAACGGAAAATTTTTTCTCAAAACGTAAGCTGCCCAATTTGCCAGAGGACAGAAAAAAAGATCTAAATGCAGAAATATCAGAGGCAGAGGTGGAAAGAGCCATCAAATCCTTACAGGGAGGAAAGGCACCGGGCCCGGATGGCCTTACTTCGGAATTCTACAAAACATTTATGGACCTGCTGTTAAAGCCCTATCTATCCATGCTGAATGCTATCTTAGACACTATTGGCTTTGTTCAAAATGTGAATAGTCCCACGCATTCTCATCTTCATACTTTGGATCTTGTGCTGACATACGGCATAGAATGTGAAGAAATAACAGTATTTCCTCACAACCCTGTCCTCTCTGACCACTTTCCAATAACCTTCAGGATTACTTTAACAGAGTTCTCCTCCCCCAAAAGAAGGTTCAATTTTAGTAGATCTTTATCAGATAGTGCAGTTATAAATTTTAAAGAATCTGCTTCACTTTCTCTCTCCTCTGTGTCGCTGAGCAGTGCTGCAGAGTGCAAAAGCTTAGCTTATTCCCCTTCACAGGTTGATGATTTTGTTGATGGGGTTGCTAGTTCTCTGCATATTGCCTTAGACAACGCAGCTCCTTTGAAAATGAAAACAGTTAAAAATAGAAAGCTTGCTCCTTGGTTTAATGCAGAGCTGCGTACTTTGAAGCAAAATGCTAGGAAACTGGAGAGAAAATATCGCTCCACAGGCCTGCGGGAGTCCTTCCTAGTCTGGAAAAATGGTTTACTGCTGTATAAGAGGACTCTTTGTAAAGCAAGAGCAGCATACTTCTCCTCATTAATAGAGGAGAATAAGAATAATCCTAGATTTCTTTGTAATACAGTTGCCAAACTCACCCAGAGCCATAGCTCTGTTGAACCGTCCATTCCACCTGCTCTTAGCAGCAATGATTTTATGGGATTCTTTATAAATAAGATTGATCTTATTAAAAATAAGATCATAAGCACTCCTCTATCCGCGATTGTACCTGAGGTAGTCATGGAATCTGAACCGGGTTTAGACTGCTTTGATCCAGTTGAACTCTCTGAATTAGCAAAATTATTGTCTTCATCTAAGCCTTCAACTTGTATGTTAGATCCAGTTCCAACCAGGTTATTTAAGGAGGTATTCCCTTTGATCTCCTCCTCCATTTTAGATGTGATTAATCTATCTCTGTTACAGGGATATGTACCTAAAGCTTTTAAGGTTGCTGTAATTAAACCTCTGCTTAAGAAACCGTCTCTTGACCCAGATGACTTGGTCAATTATAGACCTATATCCAATCTTCCTTTCTTATCCAAAATTCTTGAGAAAGTAGTTGCCAAACAAGTTTGCGATCACTTCCACCATAATGA